TCCTTCCTTCCTTCCTTCCTTCCTTCCTTCCTTCCTTCCTTCCTTCCCTCCTTCCTCCTTTCCTTTCTTCCTTTCTTTCTTCTTTCCTTCCTTCCTTCCTTTCTTCCAGGGTATACAGGATGTTAAGGGAAGACCAACAGTATCTCTGGGATGAGGGCTACTTTCCACCTTTGCTGTCTACCTGCCAGCCAACTCTCACCTGTGGTTCCAAGAAGCTGTAGCATGCTCAGTGGCCACACCCCAGTAAAAATCGTTTTGGTAGATGGGCTAAACCACGTAGAGGATAACCGATGGGCTTCAAACCCATCAGTGAGTTAGTGGAGTATCTACCCCAAGCATGTGAAGACTTCCCCAGCAAAATCGGTAGATGTGAACAATTTGTTCCAATGGGATATGAAGGTGGCAGAAGCAGGTGCTGCAAAGCACTTAGGGCTTGCTTAGACATGGAAGATGCCAAGGTCATCCACTGCATCCTGAGCTATCACCAGTTGTCTTGACTTTTGTCTTGTCAATGGATTCTAATGATTGGAAGAAAGAGTGAGGTCCACAATTTCACGCAACTCTGCCTCACTCATTTATGCTCAAGTCAAAAGATGTCACCCATATCATTTTATGATTTTTACCTACCTCAAAGGCCTGTGGTGATAGGCAAGTGACAAAGCAGCAGGTGTGGATACACTAACAGCTACAGTCACAACCCTGCACACAGGCAGCCAAGGGTATAAGGTTGTCCTATCACAGGACTGAAGCAGCAACAGAATTAATTGGCAGCCCCCTGGGTGTCTGAGCAGCCTTTTTGAAGGACCATACTGCTACCTCCTGGCATGAGGAAGAGGCTAGAAAAGCTACTTTAAAAATTGTCTGCTTTACCCAACCTAACTCTGACCTGCTTGCTGTGGTAGGTAGGGATCCTTTCCTATGGTCAAAACACAAAAAGATGTACAAAGACTTTTGCAAAGATTATTCCACTCAGTATTGGTACATGGAATACATGCATACTTATGGAGAACACAAAAAATCCAGTAGACCCGAAAGACAAACAGTTCTTGTTATGAGAGAACTCAGTAGGTATCATGTCCAAATAGCAGCCCCAAGTGAAACAAGGCTGGCAAATGAAGGCCAGTTTACCAAAGTCGGAGCTGGATACATACTTTTCTGGAGTGGTCGTGGTCATGGTGATGAGGAGTATTGTGAAGATGGTGTAGGTTTCACAATCAAATCTAATCTAGTCAACAAGTTTGCATGCCTACAAAAAGAAGTGAACAACAGACTCATGACAATATGATTGCCACTTCCAAGAAAGTGCCATGCCAACATATCAGTGTGTATGCCTCCATTATGACACACCCTGATGAGGTCAAAGGAAAAATTTATAAACCTGGAGACCCTCATCATCAATGTGCCAAAAGAGGACCAGCTTGCAGTTCTGGATGACTTTAGTGCCAGAATAGGCATAGACTATCAGACATGACAGGGAGTCCTTGGGAAAAATGAAGCTGGAAACAGCAACAGCAAAGGTTACTTACTACTGAAGACTTATGCATCTCATGATCTTCTCTGTCTTCTGTTTACCTAAATGCAACAAAACTTTATGGAATGCACCTTTGCAGCAAACATTGGCATTTAATAGACTATGCCATTGTTAAGAGAATAGACAGGCAGATGTGAGAGTGACAAAGGCAACATACGGCACAGAGTGCTGGACTGAGCATAGACTTATCCTCTTCAAGCTAAATATTTGCATTCAACAAAAGCAAAAGCCCCAAGGCAAGATGACTACCAGAAGACTTTATGTCAAAATTAGATAATTTCTCCATGCATGAACAGTGTGTTGCTAACTTGGAGGGAAAGCTGAGCCAACACATGGCTGGCAACGGTGGAACAGAAAAGGAGTGGGCAGTTTTTAAAGATTTGGTGTACAGCATCACATTTACTCATCTAGGCCAGAACACTTGCAAACATCAAGACTGTTTTTGACAAAAATGATGCACATTTACTCATCTAGGCCAGAACACTTGCAAACATCAAGACTGTTTTTGACAAAAATGATGTGGAAATTCAGAAGCTGCTAAATGAAAAACCAGAACC